ACATCGGACAAAGAACAGTGATCTATTGTACACTTAACAGCACAAGTCTATGCTTCCTTACTAGAAATAAGTCATACTTAGTTCAGTGAGTCTTATTCTCACATAAGCATCCGTTGCTTTGCAGCCTAATAGCCTCAGCTATGAAACTGGAACTATGAAGGTGAAATCTCTCAATTTTAATTGCATTGTTTTTGCTGAATCTTACCTGTATTTACATCTTGCCCCTGTTTTGTATCAGGATGTGAGAATTCATATGGCAATTTGTGCACATGTTGATACATTTTTCCTAACTTATACATTTTTTTTTCATTTTGCAAAATTCACATATTAACTTTAGTCAGTTTTACACATGGACTGAAGTGTTTGTGTATATTTTGCCTGGTGTGCACTTTAGCCATTCACTTTTCAAGAAGTGTACATTGTACTGTGCACACTTAATTTCTCCCGGAGGTTCCCAAATGCTGCAGATTCTCAAGGCACAATGTCTTTTTCCACTAACAGTGTATCAAGGGGTGCCACTTTATTTGAGATTACAAAATCCAGTGAAATGCTTATCTGCCCTTACCAGGAACTCCTGCTTGATTTTTACTTCCTACCATGAAATCATCTGAAGGCTTCAGTTAAAGTTAAGCATTCTTTGTCTGGCTCTCAGAGGTCACTTCAGCATCATCACAATGGAGATAATGGCAATATATTTTTTTAAAAAAAAGACTTTGTGAGGATTATAATCAACTTTTAATTTTCCAAAGCTGTATATAAAAACTAAATTTTAGTGTTACTTGAGAAAAAGAAGAATGTTACACAGTGAATGGCCCTGGCATCCCCTTCCATAATGACTTGGAGAGTAGTTGTTGGAACAGGCTCTTTTGTTGACCAACAAAACTCTTATAGGACCAACAGGTCCAAAACATAAAACTGACTGGATGCCAGGAGGTTAGCTTCACCGTCTCTGGGGCTGTGCCCCTCAAAGGTCTTTGGGAGGAATGGAGCCCCACCTCCTCTACCAGTTCAGAACACCTGGCAGGTGTACCAGGCAGGAGTGCCACAACAGGAGTGTTGCATGCAAGTGGTCCTCAAAATCAAGTGGCAAAGACTCCTTCCCTCACTATGCCTCCATAGTCACCACTGCTATCCACCTAGATATGGTAATCCTTGCAGGAGGCGTGACCAAACTACCTGGGCCTGGCTGGACCTCTCCTGAGTAAAAAGGTGTGAGGTGGCAAGAAGCCAGAGGCTACCTTTCTGAACCTCTGTAGGCAGACTGATGGGGCCGCTTGCCCCTGCTGCTTCCTTTGCTGCTGATAGGCTCATCACTGGTTCTCTGTAGAACTTTTCAGCAGGATTTGGGCAAATAAAATAATAATAATGAAGAAGCTTGTGGCACCTTACAGACCAGCAGATTTATTTCAGTGTGAGCTTTCACTTATTACAGTCTATTTCTTCAGACTCACAAAGTGAAATATTTAGCCTCTGGTTCACATACAAAGTATACATTGTGTGGGTGCAGAATATGGATGCAGGCCAATGTTCACTACACAAACAACAGTCTTGGTGGAATAATGAATTTCATTATTTGTACATGCCGTGTAACATGTGATCATATGTACTGTATGAAAAATTTAAAATTGAAGAGCAGAAACACAAGAAATCAGTAAGTCAAGTGTCGTCCAGAATAATAAAGGATTTTGTCTTCCTTGAGTAGAGGATCTCTGCTGGTTCACTTTGAGGGATAGTCCCCTCCTAGTGACTCCATGGCTCATTCTATTGAGCATGTTCCCCTGCCATTCTATGAAGGAGTTTGAGGAGGGTGGAGGCCTGTCGTGGAAAGGAGAAATTGGCTGCTGCCAGTCCAGTCCAGCAGGCCTGAATCTGCATCCTACTCAGTAAATTTCACACCCCTTCATGAAGACAGTAACAGAAAAACTCCTTACCTTCTATGGGAGACAACAGCATGACCTCATGGCCATTATAGAGGGCGCTCTGCTCTTAATAAAGAATGCTCCAAATTAATGCATGGCATACAGAACACATTGATTTGTTTTAGGTTTCACTTGATCTGGAAGCAATGCAGGAAGTTGCAGAGGGAGGATATTGACATAGGACCACAGATTAGACTTCTGTAACTGCCATTTCCTTGCTGGTTTCTCCTACAATATTAATTGCTTTATGCAGCTATTCTGTAATCAGGAGTGCTGTATCTGAATCATATTCCACTGCAACCCAACATTTAGAACTAAATGCGATTTCACATAGCATCTGCTATGACTAGGTGACAATCCAAAGGCAAGTGGTATTTGAACAGGTGCCATCAGAGAAGTTATTTCTAGCAGGCAGTAACAACATAGTGAGAACTAATTGACTAAGGGTGCCATCAGAAAAGTCATGAGAGAGCCCAAATTATTCTGAGAGTGTACGTACCTATTACCATTAAACATTCTCCTACACTGCACAGATGGGTGACTCAGAGCTTTGAAGTATTTTTTTCAAACTTTGTTTGGTTGTAGTCTTAAAAAGTAACTTTTCCAAGTTCTGCATTCTCTTATGTCCCTGCAGTTTTAGCAGGAAGGTGGAAATACAGTGCAGAGAGACAGGCATGTCATTATGAGAGAAGGGGTAAAAACAGAGTGTGGGTTATCCCCAAATTGTCTCCCAACTCAAGACAACCTGGATATCCTTGACAAACAGTACACCTGGTTGAAAATGCGGTTGTTGAATGCTAGGTTAGTGAAAAGAAAAAGACCAACCATCAAAGATGTGATCCTGGATGAATATGTCAACCTGGTCTGTATTACAGAGACTTAGTTGGATGCTGGAGAAATTAATCTTTCAGCTCTGCCTATCTGGGTATTCTGTGCAGCAGCAGTAATCTACACTTGAAGGGTGGGTGAGCAGGTGGAGTTGTACTCACCTACTATTATTTGATTCTCTTTACCAGTTGTTCTATCCTGCAGTCTTCTAGGTTTGACTGTGTTTACTTGAATGTGGATGCCTGGGACAGAATAAGGATGCTGTTGGTGTGCCACCCTTGCTATTGCCCAATAGTCTCCCTTCCTGAGCTGTTGGAGGAGATATTGGAGATGCTGACCACTCAAAAGCCCACTGTGATGAATTTGCTCAGTATTTTGCAGACAGAGTCATTTGGAGCCTTTCCAACTTGGATTTTGCACTTGATACAGGATTTTGTACTTGATACAGGCACTTGATTAATGTAGTTCTGGCTCCTGCTAGTCCTGTGTTAATGTATAAATTTAAGTGTTCAGACAAAGGATGTCGACAGGGTCCTTGGAGAGGTGATGGCCACCATGTGTGTGCTGGATCCTTGCCCTTCCTGGTTCATAAAACCAGTCAGAGGGGGATTGTGTGAGCGATTAAAAGGAACAGTGAAAATGCCTCATTGTAGCAAGATAGGGTTCCAGCATGCCTAAAGGAGTCAATAGTGAGACCACTACGGAAAAAAAAAATTCCTTTTTGAATATCACTGTGCATGTTTGTATCTGCCATCAAGTTGGAACTGACTTATAGCAACCTTGATATGATTTTCAAGGTAAGTGAGGCATTTCAGGAGTGGTTTTGATGTGGTGGCGCTGTGGGCTAAACCGCAGAAGCCTTTATGTGCTGCAGGGTCAGAAGACCAGCAGTCATAAGATCGAATCCACGTGATGGAGTGAGCGCCCGTCACTTTGTCCCAGCTCCTCGCCAACCTAGCAGTTCAAAAACATGCAAATGCAAGTAGATAAATAGGGACCACCTTGGTGGGAAGGTAAACAGCATTCCGTGTATAGCTGCGCTGGCCACGTGACAACGGAAACTGTCTTCGGACAAACGCTGGCTCTAAGGCTTGGAAACGGGGATGAACACCATCCCCTAGAGTCAGAGACAACTGACTAAATGTCAAGGGGAACCTTTACCTTTACCTTACCTTTACCAGTCCACCCCTACCTGCATGAGTTTCCATGGCTGAGCATATTTGTATTTGAATGACTGTGAACCACTTTGATCACCTTTATAGAAAAATGTAATGCAGCATCGTAAGTAAATATAAACAATGGACTTCAATTATATTATACCAGATTTTCACTGGCTTATCCACACTGATTACTAAGTAGCCGATTTTATTTATGTTTAATTATTTCTTCTTGAAGTGACAAAAAGAATGTAGAAAAGTATTTCAAGATATTATTTTCATTTAGTACAGTCCTGTCAGACTTTGTTATCCTGGGAGGAAGTGGTGCTGATCTGAGAAGATTTAACATTTATAGGTAAAGGTAAAGTTTCCCCTTGACATTTAGTACAGTCCTGTCCGACTCTAGGGGGCGGTGCTAATCCCCGTTTCCAAGTTGTAGAGCCGGCGTTTGTCCATAGACAATTTACGTGGTCACATGGCCACTAGACACGGAACGCTGTTACCTTCCCACCATGGTAGTAGCTATTTATCTTCTCACATTTTACATGCTTTTGAACTGCTAGGTTGGCAGGAGCTGGGACAAGCAACGGAAGCTCACTCCATCACGTGGATTTGATCTTATGACTGCTGGTCTTCCATCCTTGCAGCACAGAGGCTTCTGTGGTTTAACCTGCAGCGCCACCATGAGATAAATGAATTTAAGTAGACTTTGTTCTGTGTTGAACTATGCACTGTTAGAAATTTGATCGTCCAATTTTCAAGATGATTTTTCACAGATTTATGTACAACCCTGTTGCTAGTTAAAATCTGCACAGACCAATGGAAATCAATGAAATAGTGCAGCAAACATACCTAAGTTCCTTGTTTTATGATGAAATACTGTTACATTCCCATGCAAAGCACCACACAGAAGATCAATCTGGGCTTCATTATCGTCTGCACTGGTGATTAGTGCCAGCTGGCATTGAGATAAACAGAAGAATAAAACAGAGACACTGTGGTGATTCTGGAGTGATTCCTTCCTTGTTTGCTACCAGAGATGATGGCAAGATGTGGAAGTCTGCATTAATGGAAACTCAGAGAACTGAGAGAAAATAGCTGACTAAAATTTTTATCAAGGAGAGCCCGATCTAAGTCATGCTTCCATTTATTCACTTCATATAAAAATCTTTTAAGAATGCATGTGAACACAATATATAATACTATAACAACATACAATTTTGTGAAACTTTGAAACAATAAAATAACCACCTGGAACAATGCAGTGTTAAACAGACATACAAACCCATTGATCATGCACAACTGTGCTATTTTCATCAACTAGTTAGTCACAAGTTGGACTGAAAGCTTGAAACATGGTTTTACAGACTGAAATCGGCACTGTATACATGCCTAACAAGCTTTGTTGGAAGATTCACAGCACAATTATAACATCAGTTCACATTTTGTCCTAGAAATTCACATTGGCTTGTTTGCAAATTTGAAAACGACACATTAACACATGTGGCTTTTACTGGGGATCTCTTTAGAGTTTCAGTAGTTTCACGTCATTTTAACAGACTATCCTAAATCTTTCTCAGCTTCCAACAGTGATGGGTTCCCAAATCCTAGTGGAAATGTAACCCCTAGAAACAATGCCGCCTGAATGCCCTCTCTGGGTTCCATATGTCTCTTTTAAGCTATGTTCAGGTTCTTCTGTTTTATGCAGTACAAAAGGTTACAAGAAAGGCAACTCTCATCCAGAGTCTTCTACACAAGTAACATCACCACTGACAGGCAATGTTAATTTATATAAATTAATACTTACAAAACATTACATTATGTACATTCAGTAATAAATACACTGTTATAAACAGTACTGGACGTGTTAGAGCTCAAGGCAAGTGCAGGAGGAAAAACAATCTTAAACCTAGTAGACATGAACTATGCAGCAAAGAAAACACAAAAGGGCCAAGCATACAACTTCCACTGTGTTTAAGGGAAAAAGGAAAACCACGAGGGAAGACTGCACGCCATACTACCTCCGTCTGCTGGTTTGTTTACATGTGCCCATATTGTGCTATGAAAACACGAAGCTACACTTTTCCTTTTGAAAACGGTTGTTGGAAATCTTGCTTTCAGTAGCAAGCAAACAGCAGAGCTACACAGATCTTGTGGGACTGATAAAGTGACCAGTAATGCAAAGAGGTCACCCTGCTTGATTTAGTGAGTCACAAGTGATTAAACTGCAATAAAGTAACAAGTATTGCCCTTAAAAAAGGAAGACTTCTTTCTTTAAAACAGGAATAATAATAATAATTAAAAAATTATACATCAATATCAAACATATTTTGTTGCGTATAGGTTTCTCGAAAAGATGTGGAAGTGTTTATAAAAAAGGCACACGGGTCTGCAGACAGGAGGACAAGTTTTAAATGCAGAGTTATGAATCAGTAGTTCTAGCTGTCAGACCTGTCTAGATTTCCAAACCCCTTTAGAATAGAAAACATTTCAACTTTGTGTCATTCCCTATCATGCTTATTCAGTAACAGCTCACATTGGTTCCAGACCACCACAATGATTTTGGGTTTTGTTTTGATTTTTCTGGCTGACAAAAGCTTGAAGCTGCAATATAAATCATCTGTTAATTTCCTGAGCAGTCAACTACATGCTCTTTAACCCTGACTCCAATCTCAAGTAACTGGAAAGGTCTTTTAAGCAACTGAAGATGCTGGCCTAAGACCCAGGTGTCAGGCGAGTCAGCAAGACAAACCTGCATGTGCATGGAGTATTTAAATTCACTGACACGGATTACAGTACATTAAGTATCAGTAGGTGATGTATCTTCAGTCAAAATTTCTATATTAGCTTCCTTTTGGGAACCCCTTCTTCCTGGTTCAATCACACAGAGTGTCTTTGTACTGCTGAAATAGCTGATTCTGTCACTGTCTTTCTCAGGTCCATCAGAATCCTCTTCTTCAAGGGTAAGCTCGAACTGGAACTTCTCGTTCAGGCCTGGACAGTCTCTGTTGCATTCTTCGAGAGGAGGAGAGGGGCTCTGAGGGATCATACTCTGGTACCAATTCCTGTTATCTTCTAGGGTATCCAAGATATCTTGGGCATCAGGCTGTACCAGGTCTGCCCATGTCTCCCAAAGTGGGTGGACGATATAATCAATGAACCCAACCTGTAAAACAGTAAGAAATATAGATTATTCCAGCCTTGAATTTGTTAAGAGCAACTTTTATTTATTTATTTAATAGAAGTATTTATGAATTGCACCACTGCCCAGTGGGGGTTGAAGGCAGTATATACATCTGATAGAACAGCAGCAGTCGTTAAAAAACATATTGAAACAATAAAATTAAAAATGGGTGTAAAACATCTATAGATAAAAGAGAAAACAAGCATTAAAATGCATCGGCTGAAATCCTGTTGCATTGTGTAGTAGGACTCAACTAGAGAAGGCCCATTGAATCAATAGAACTTATGGAGAATTGACCTGCCAAATCTCTGCTGGGCCTACTCCAGCTGCAACTTCCTATACTAAGCGACTGGATGTTAGCCCCTGAAAACTGAATGGAAAATGCCACCTTCACTGGCTGTCTAATAATGATGGTGTTTTCTAGATTCTATAAGGAGGAAGTTTGATAATCAGGGTGGTTCTAGAGAAAAGCCTCTGTTTTGTGTATCCACCAACCTAATACTGCTAGGTTGGAGAGGAAGCATGTAAGAAGATCTTTGATGACAAACAACAGGCAGATCCACAGGAATGGAGACAGTTTTTCAAATATCCTGACTCCAAAGAGGTCTATGGATAGGAGACTGGAACCTTGAATTACAATAGGAAATAAAATGAAATCCAGTGACAATATATTCAGCTTGGCCATACTATATTGTTAAATGAAAAAAGGTTAATGCTGTAAATGGGGTGTTTATGTATACACATCCATATTCTCATTTTGCTAGGTTTTGTACAGCACACACAGAGAAAACAGGTACAGTATTATTAAAATCCAGTGCCTTGCACCCAGTATGGCAATACTGTGATGTTTTGAGGAAAGAGGTTGTCGTTGAGGGGAAATTATGGTTTTGTATATTATTTGACAAGTCAGCTCTGAACTGTATTACTTCGTAGTTACTTAACAGACAGGAAGTTTAAGATGGAGAAAATTGAATGGCCATGAAAGCTGTAGAGGAAAAGCTTTTTGCCTGGCCAGAGTTTGCTACTTAAGTCCAAGTGCTGTTGGACAGCATTCTACAGGCAGGAAAATGACTCTCAGAGGAACCCATCTCTGCTCAAGGATGTTTGGTTTGGAAATCACATTTGCATCCTTCAGACACAACAGGATGTTGAATGAGCCATGATAATTCTATTGTGACCATTTGGGCAGCTGAAGCCAAAAGGTGACGAAAACTTCCTGCAGCATGTACTCAGTAGACACTTTTATGTCCAAAAACTTTGTCTGATTATTGAAAGAGGGGGGCTCTTTGGCTCCTTTCATTCAGGAGGAATGCCACAAGAAAGGTTTCTGATTTTTAAATCAAGTTGAAAATTAATTTTCCCAGCAGATAGCTCAGATCAGAAGAGCCAATTGACTGTTTACCAGTTTTTGAAGTTAAAGGACAGTTCTTAACTGAAATAAATTATATTTAGTTATTGCTATTTACTGCATTTTCATCAGGTTCTTTTTCTAAGCAATTCAAGGAACCACACCTAGTCACCTTCAATTTGTTCTGTGATGTACATTATTAAGAGGGTGATGGGGAAGAGAGAAAGAGAAAGATTATTTAGTGAGCTGTGTAGGGACTTGAAAAAATATTTGGAGGTGGTACCTAATGTAAAATGTGCTGGTCAGATTTTCTCTGGTGTGCACTTTACAGTCTGTATATCACTGGTCTTCAACCAAATGCATTGTTTTTCAATATATTTCTGAGCTCAGTTCAAGGTGCTGGTTTTGCCATATAACAGTCACACTTTATGCAGACAAAACTGGCCTCATGGCAAAGAGAGAGAGACATATACACACACGTCACTCTGAATTCAGCACTAGATGCAAAAAAAAAATCTCTGGATATTTGCCACTAAAAGCAAGCAGCAAAGAAAAATAAATAAACAGTATAGAACAGAACAGGGGATGTTAGTTGTAAAAACCCTAATCAAAAGTGTCATTTATAAACTGGGATAACACTGCTGGTGGGGGAAAAAGGAATGTTAAATACCTGCGACTTCTCTACAGAAGCTGTATGTTTGTCACACATTGGGCTGATTTCCATTCCTCTCTCCCGTTCTTTGTCCCCTTGCTGGAAAAACTCCTCCATGATTCTGTCTGTCCATTGCCGATAGAGTTCAAGAGATTTTGTGGGATTACTTAAATCAGCACAATGAACCATGTTTCGGAGAACCTGTAATTGAAAAATCTGTATTAATTTGAAGACTCAGATAATGTGTCAGAATAGAACATTTCATTCCCTCCTTGCTTGGTACATTCAGTACAATTTTGCATTACAAGAACATTTCAATCACAAAAATACCCTCATTTTGGAATATTTAATAAAAGACAACTTCATTAAAATATTTTTTAAAACAATCATGATGCAGATTATCTGGCGGGAGGTCATTTTACATCAACCTAATTAACTGTGGATAGGCAAGAGAAGCAATAGATTCATTCTGTCCAAATTGCATAAACACTGTCCTGAGTACTCATGCACAAAACTAAACTTTGGAAGTGGGGCAGTGCCAACTGACTACATCTCATATACCAGGGGTCAGGGAACTTTTTTACCTTTTACCCCCCCCCAAATTTATTTACGTTGACATTACCCCCCCTTGGCTCTTGCCGTCCATGGCCGACCCCTGCACCTCCTGCGCTTGCCCAGGACCTGTGGCCACTGTCCAGGCAGCCAGTCTGGAGCTGCCACACCACTGGGAAAGCATGTCCTTGGAAGGAATGTTAAATACCTGCGACTTCTCTACAGAAGCTGTATGTTTGTCACACATTGGGCTGATTTCCATTCCTCTCTCCCGTTCTTTGTCCCCTTGCTGGAAAAACTCCTCCATGATTCTGTCTGTCCATTGCCGATAGAGTTCAAGAGATTTTGTGGGATTACTTAAATCAGCACAATGAACCATGTTTCGGAGAACCTGTAATTGAAAAATCTGTATTAATTTGAAGACTCAGATAATGTGTCAGAATAGAACATTTCATTCCCTCCTTGCTCGGTACATTCAGTACAATTTTGCATTACAAGAACATTTCGATCACAAAAATACCCTTATTTTGGAATATTTAATAAAATACAACTTCATTAAAATATTTTTTTAAACAATCATGATGCAGATTATCTGGCGGGAGGTCATTTTACATCAACCTAATTAACTGTGGATAGACAAGAGAAGCAATAGATTCATTCTGTCCAAATTGCATAAACACTGTCCTGAGTACTCATGCACAAAACTAAACTTTGGAAGTGGGGCAGTGCCAAATGACTACATCTCATATACAGTTAACCCATATCCTATCACTTTGTTCCAAAGTGCTTTGGACAATGTTCCGGTGTTCTCATATCTTAAAGATACAAGTAGGAAAGAAAGAAAAAGGTCCGGATCCACACATCTAGTGTGTAATACAAGCTCAATTACACTGGAAGAGGATGTGACTAGAGAGCTAAAGGACCCTGGTTTAATCTTGGGTTTCAGGAACTCTTACTGATAGCCAATGTGATGCAGTGATTAATGAGACGAGGATTGGGAGACCCAGGTTCAAATTCCAATTTAACTAGAAAACTTATTTGGTGACCTCGAATCAACTACTTTCCCCTGCCTTTAAAGAAGAGAGAACTTATTTCATTATTCTTGGCCATCTCTGGGAAGGCTTAATCTTGTAAACACGGAAGGAACAAACTTGTGGATTTCACAACACTTGCCCTACTAACCCAAATGAACACTACACTGATTATGACTGTGAAATCCTGTCTTCTCCAGGTAGGCTGGAAGGCGGGAAATGGGAAACCACAAACCACTGTACTCCTATCTTGTGGAGAAGTTTATGGGTTTTTAGCATTTGCATGTAAAATGTGCTTGTCAGCTTAGTCCTGTTCCCGACCGTAATTGCAGCACAAACAGAAGTTCATATTGCAACAGCTACACTGGCACTGTCTCCAGTTCCACCCACTTCCTCTCTATTACATCCCACTATATATTTTTTTCAGACAGCCTTGCTTCTTTACTTTTCAAAAGTCCTACATTTTGGGGAAAAGTTTTTATTCTGGGAAGTGACACTAGCATTCTGCATTAGAATTAGAGTTCAGCCCATTGTGCTAGACATCCTCCAGGCTCTGAAAAGGCTCTAAAATTATAGAAGTGTGATAGAAAAAAAAAATCTCTTCTAATTGATGGTTGACTTAGAATGATGGTTGATTCTTGATCTGATTTGATGCCATGGATTCTAAAGAAGATATTTCTTTCATACACACCTGTATTCTATCCGTGTAATTATCCAGAAGAAGGACCCCGGAGCTTGTCACTTTTTTAGTTTCCACCATGGTCTTCAGGTCTGCCAGAAGAGACATGTGCTTCGACATATCTGTTGCCAAAACCTTGTGGAATGAGAAAGAATTATTGCAGGGAAAACAAAATGGGAATTTGTGCTTGAAATAGCAGGCCAGGCTGCACTAAGAAGGTTGAACAGTACTAAGTTCCTACCATGTCTATCACCATTTTCCTGAGAGTTTGGCGCTGTTTCTTGGTCAGGTTCTGAAATATATCACAATTTTCTTCTTGTAGCAGCTTAAAACCCACAGCAAGGTGGTGATTTTCCAAGACAGACTCATCATTATACATTAGAGCAAGTTCAGAATCTGGAATAAAAGAGAGGAAAAAGGACACAATTAAGAACAAGGCATGTTTTCAGAAGGAAGCAGTGTGTGTTAATTATTCTGTTGTCACATGCCAGCAAGTTGGAACTGATTTCTAGTGACCTTAATAGGGCTTTCAATGTAAGTGAAATATTTAAGGACTGGTTTTACCAGTTCCTCACCCCCAATAACTTCCCATGGCTGAACAGGGTTTTGAATCTAGGCCTCCTGAGTCCTAGACCATCACCCTATCCACTACACCACACTGAGAATCCTGCACAATGATAACAACCATGTGCGATCTAGTCAATTCTGATTTATGGTGACGTTTTCAGACTTTTCTAGGTAGACAGCACTCAAGTGGTTGACCATTCCCTTCTTCGGGGGACATCCTGGGACTTTGCAGCTTGCCCCATTGTCACACAGGCTGTCTCTTCTCCCTGGAGGCACAGTGGGGGAATTGAACTCCCAACCTCTGGCTCTACAGATCAATACTAAAGACGGGGCTATTCATATACAAATACGACTATCCCCCTTCAGGTGCAGATAATGAGGGTCCGGCCCCCTGGGGCCAGACCGGCCACTTACCATTCCACCGTTGCCGGGGCTCTGCACTCCCTTCCTATCGCTCTGGAGCTTGCAATGGATTAGCTAAGGTGGGATGATGAGCCTCTCTGCCAGCTCGAAGAGTGGCTAATCCATTGTGAGCTCCAGATCAATAGGAAGGGAGCACGAAGCTGGCAGCAGGGGCGGAATGGTGCATGATCAGTCTGGCCCCAGGGGGCTGGACCCTCATTATCTGCACCTGCGGGGAAATTCATATTCGTATACGAATACCCCCATCTCTACTCAATATCTAACTCATTGAGCTATCCAGCTGAATGTCCTAAACATATAACTGTTTTTCTTAAATAACGCCGGGAACTGGATAAGGAGTGCGTGTTCCTACTGGTTCTGCTGGACCTCTCAGCACCCTTTGATACCATAAACCATAGTATCCTCCTGACCCGTCTCTCTGGAAGGGGACTTGGAGGCACTATTGGATGGTGGCTCCAGTCCTTCCTGGACGAGAGAACACAGAAGGTGGTGCTGGGGGATTTGTGTTCACCCCCCTTAATGCTGAGCTGCAAGGTCTCTCAGGGCTCTGTTTTGTCTCCTAGTTGGTCAAAAGGCAAATCAAGGAATAGGGATGCATCCTGTACTGGATGGGGTTACGCACCCTCTGAAAACACAGGTGTGCAACATGGGGGTGCTCCTGGATTCATCTCTGAGCCTAGATGCCCAGGTTATGGTGGTGGCCAGAAATGCGTTTGCACAATGAAAACTAGTGCCCCAGCTGTGACTGTTTCTTGAGAAGTCTGATCTGATGCCTTAATTACATCCCAGCTGGATAATAGGTAAATGCTGTAGCACCATAAATTGAAAACACAGGTGTGCAACTGGATTCATATATGAGCCTGGATGCCCAGGTTATGGTGGTGGCCAGGAATGCATTTGCACAATGAAAACTAGTGCGCCAGCTGTGACTATTTCTATATACTATATACAAATATTATGGAACATACTGTAGATCAACATAATTTCATGTGACTTATGGTGGCCAGAAATGCGTTTGCACAATGAAAACTAGTGCCCCAGCTGTGACTGTTTCTTGAGAAGTCTGATCTGATGCCTTAATTACATCCCAGCTGGATAATAGGTAAATGCTGTAGCACCATAAAGTATTTATACAAAATATAATTTGAGTCTATAAGGCACAATTTAGCTGTGCAGCCACTATCCATAAACCAGATGGAACTATGATGATATATACTCCATAATATTAGTATAGTAGTACTGTATGTGGGTTATACAAATATTATGGAACATAGATCAACATAATTTCATGTGACTTATGGAGAGTCGCTGCACTGATAAATTATGCCTGATAAACCCAAATTACATTTTGTATAAGTTCTTTATGGTGCTACAGCACTGATTTCTATTGTTTTTTTTTTAAATCATCGTTAGGACATTCATTCAGGTCTACAGAGTGTACATTATAGTGTCTACAATGTGCACTGTACAGGCATATATGGTGCAGTCTCCTTGCCATCCAGTTTAAAAAAAATCAAATTAATAAATTGGTTTCATGAAAAGGAAAAGCTACAACTCCCAATACTTTTATATTCAGGCCAGTGTGTTAACATGAGAGCCTCATATGCAGTACTGCTGTCAAGACCCTGGTCCTTGCCATCCCCATTGAAAAAAAAAATCAAATTAATAAACTGGTTTCATGAAAAGGAAAAGCTACAACTCCCAAAACTTTTATATTCAGGCCAGTGTGTTAACATGAGAGCCTCATATGCAGTACTGCTGTCAAGACCCTGCTCATGACTTGAGTTTGATCCCAACGGATTCAGGTAACCAGCTTCAGGTTGACTCAGCCTTCCATCCTTCTGAGGTTGGCAAATTGACTACTCAGCTGGGGGGAGGGGGTACGTCAATATGTAGCCAGCACAATTAAATTGTTTAAACAGCCCAGAGAGTGCTTTAAGTGCTATGCGGCAGTATAGAAATCACACACTGTGCTTTAATGTGTGCAGGCCCACTCACTTATGCAAAAAAGGACTCACTTGTATTAATAAGGAACTGGTTGGAGACACCGGGATGATCCACATCATGAATTGCTGCTGCAAAAATTGCAGCAAGAATTTCCAAATCAGTGAAGACAGCCTAGGGAAAGGAATGAACAATAGGCATCAAAATTATGAATTTGTAAGTTATTATATGCTTCTCAAAAGAAACCACTAGCATTGAAATAATGCTGTAGTTAACAAAACCATTTTAGGTGTCACATCATTCAGTGGCACACAGATTTTAAAAAATGTTCAGGGGCACTTGCCACTTTGCCTCTACCCTGACATGTCCTGTGGGATGCAACAACTCCAGTGCAGAATGGTGAATAGCTCCATAAAAGTCAAGGTGTTACATTTGATATGAAAACTTTCCCATGGGGAAAACATTTCATATAAAAGTACAGTCTAGACCTCTCCCTAAATGTTCCCATCTCAGAAACTCCTTCCCACCCAATCCACCCTGTCTTTTTCTGCATTGTGTTATTAGATTGTAAGCTTGAGGGCAGGGCTGTCTTATATTATCAACCTTGTTTAAGACCTTCTGGAAAGATATTTTCTAGCTGAGGAGAGGGTCACAAATGCTTTAAATAAGCATCTAATCTAGGCTTACTAACAATATGCTGAAATTCAACCATATCCCATCACGCGTGCAACAGCCAAGTTGCTAATAAACCATGCTTACTGATCTTGCTTTTGCAGTAATTCAAGAATATTGAGAAATAGGATGAAATCAGAAGCTACTACAATCTACACAAAGAGCAGAATGTAAAGAAGAGTGTGCTCAGTCAGAATAGAGGAGGAAACAAAAAGATTTATTAGGCTTGAATGGGTATCTACACCATGACCTATGAGAAATCTCTGACATTTCTCTGAATTCTTCATGACAGCTATGCCTACAATTCAAACCAAGTGCAGGTCTGCTTCACACCAAGGGCAGTCTGGTTATTCAGCCAAGAAACTCCTACAGCTGTTTTGTCCTATGCCACAGTTTAATCCTGGAATTATCTAGCTTGCAAGAATACATGGAAGCAGCTGTGACATTGCACATGTGTTGTCAAAACAACTGAATGATTCATATAATTTTGATGATGTCCTTTTACGCGAGAATATTAATTGAGGCCTATGCTACAGGAAAACGGAATCATCTAGCACAACAGATTCATTATTACCATGGTGAATATTCATGAAACAGTTTGGGGAGGCTGAACTACTTACGTCCAATGCTGGCGTAGACAAAAGAACATGAGTTGACTGGGCCACATCAGCAGCATGGAGACTGTTGTGATAGGCTACATCGGAATGGTAGTGGTCTTCCAGAGTCATCATGTAAGCAATAAAGGTATCTGATGAGGTTTTGAATGTCTTCAGAAGGTCTCTCTCCTGTTTAAGGGAAATTTAAATTGTGTAAAGTGATACAAACCTCAGGACTTTGTTATTGAGAGAAAGGAAGGGTGGAGAAGCTGGCTTAGGCAATTCAACTAGTGTTTGCACAATTTTTGGGTAACTCACTGGAACAAACTGCAGCTAGCATACCAGACATGTTTCAATACTATGCTTGGCCACACACCTGGCTATGCAACTAAGAGGCACGTAGCATCTCTTTTAATGAGCTGCACTTGGCAAATATTCTGTAAGCAACAATAAGATTTGAGCTACTGTAGTTAAAATGCAACAACCTGGGCTGTTGCCCCGATGACTACAGGGACCACTGAAGTGTGTTTTATCCACAAGTAAGATGTTTCGATTGCCAGACCTCTGTATTTTGTTAGTTTTTCCAATTCTTTATTTTCAACTCTGGCATTCCCTGGAATTGCAATGTCAGTGATCCAGACATTTCTTTATTGTACTGTATTACTATTATGTCTGGTGTGTTATGTTCAAGATGTCTATCAGTTTGGATCCAGAAATTCCACAAGATCCTGCCTTCCTCATTTTCTCACACCTTTTCTACTTGATGTTCCCATGGGATTGTGGAGGCTGGCAATTTATATTTTTTGCATAGTAACTAGTGCACTAATTTTGCCACTTTATCATGTCTGATTTTGTAATCTGTTTGTGCAATCTTTGGACATTTGTTCGCAGATGAGTTGTGACATAGTTTCATCTTTTTCTTGGCAGAGTCAACATTTGCTGTTAGCTTGAATCTTAGCTTTCATCATATTAGTTTGGAGTGCTTGTTCTTGTTACTATTTATCATCATCATCATCATCATCATCATCATCATCATCATCATCATCATCATCATCATCATCATCATCATCATCTGTAATTACCAACCTGAAAAATGGCATACATAATGCAAGTAAGAGGTCTACTGTGGGAATATCTTGCAACATTAAATATGTTCAAGCCCCATTTATTCAGATCCTCCAGCTCCTACAGGTGGGGGAAGGAATAAAACAAATTAATGAATACATAATATAATCACTAAAAAGCTGATGGTTTGTATGACTTGTAACTGTATTTATAAACTCAAGCAACAGTTTTCTTGTATGTGAATAGAGTAAATACAAATGACGTGGTTATCAAAAGAACATGGCACGTGAAAGGAACTAGGGAAAATGAATGTATTATTCCCTTCCCAGTCTTAAATAGAAACTATATGTTTATGCTGTCATCATTGTATCATAAGAGGAAGGTGTCAGCAGAATTTTTTAAAATAAGAAAATAGATCTCGTAATACTTGTAGACCATGAAAATACATTTTACAGAATAAAATATCTGTATCAATAGCACACCACATCACACAAATCACAATGATTTTTCTGCCCTTCACTTTTCTCTGCTAGTCTTCGTTTGCTCTCTGTCCCCATCTCCTCATCTTCTCCCCTTTTCTCCTTTTATTTTCCATAGAAACTGAACTATAACAATAAATTTGCAATGGAGGGGACTAGATACAGGGGTATGGGAAAATAGAAAAAAACTATAATCTAATTTGTAAATCTCCCCCTCTGAAAAAAAAAATGAAACTGTTGATGAAAATAAAACAAAAGACTGGACTAAATCAGTTGCCCCCCCCATCTCTTTCTCCTCATTTGCATGATTTAGAAAATGACAAATATAAATATATTAAGTCACTCACCTTGGCTAAATGGTCTTCCTTCTCTGTTTTCACACCAAATCTTGAAATGCTAGTATTATTCAAGCTTGAACTATGCATGAGCTTTTTTACACCACTGATCTGTGTCATGAGCTGCTGCTTTTTCTTTTTCTCTCTGTCTTTCTGAGTGGGAGAGGGAATCTCCACATCGTTCTGTTTGTCTATAGAAAAAAGATATAAATGAATATATAATATTTAATGTACATAGTGGGTAGAACCTAGACAGGTTATTCTGTGAATTAGTGGTGGGCAACCTACGGCCTTCCAAAAGTCATTCCATTTATGTGAGAGGCCCTGGTGTTCAGCAAAGCATTCCTGTCGAAGGAAACAGGCTGGAAGCTGATCCTCACTTCTTCACTCAGCACTCCTATGTTGCCCCTCATACTATTCCAAAAACACCCCGACCCCCTGACAGCAGATTTTCAGGAAAAACAAAGTAGGCCTTCTTAGGATGAGGAGGAAGAAATGTAAAGCTCACTTCTTTGCCATTTCCTTTTTAAATGGCAAGGCCAGGAAATGGTGGTCTTCTGGATGTTTTAGTTTAAAGATCCCACCACCTGTAGCCAACATAGCCAATGGTATGAGAGCTACAGAAGGTGCAGTCGAGAAGGATCAAGAGAGCCAGCATGACCACTGGTTTTGCAACAACATGCGAGTTCTACTTATGTGTAAAAGGCTTCTATACATAAGTAAGGGTGTAACTAGATGGAGATTTGTCCCATGCTTTGGTCTTGTTTGTGGATCGGCTTGGAGACCAAATGAAATACGGGTCATTGTGAACCAGCTCATCCCTGACACATGCCTATCCAAACCTTTTTTGTTGTTCAATATCAGGGACTACTGTTTTTTTGTGTGGGGATTTTGGTGCAGGCAGGAATGCTCCATTTTGGTTAAGTTCTAGCATGTACAATTGCTGTGATGGAACCAATCTTGGGAAACTGAAATTTTCTTCCTGCTTCCACATGGAGCAGGGGAAAAGATAAAGCAAGTGGGTCTTTTCAGTCCTTGTCAGGCAAGTACTGATGCACTATGCCACTTAAGAAAAAAAAGTTTTAAAAGAAAGAAAGCTTCCTCCTGCTCCTACATGGAGGAGGAGACAGGAGGATATCAAAAGGAGGATCTGTTTTGTCTCCCCCCCTTTCCTCCTTTCTCTTTATATGGAGGAAGAACCAAATAGGGTTGCTTGAGGTATAGTTAGGTTTCCTGCCCCCAAACCACCTGATCCTTGCATATCAATGCAAAAATTGCTCCAAGTGACACACCACATCTCACGTGATCTAGCCTGGTCCAGGCTGGGTTAATTTGGACATGTCACTTGGCACCCTAACCCTTTGCTCTCTTTTTTGGTTTACATTTAATGCACTCATTTCTACATTATGTCCATTTAGTGAAACCTATGGCTGCCAGTATAAAACACTAGTAAGGCTGTCAGACTACAGCCAGGGAGATCCAAGTAAGCTTCTCACTTTTATCTATGAAATTTACATGACTTGTTATCATTGGGCAGCAATTCTCTCTCGGTTCAACATACCCCACTGGACAAAATGATGGAAGGAAGAATCATCCATGCCCTTTACAAATACATCCCTCTAAGAGTAGAGACTGAACTGCCATAGGTTGCATACATACTTGAAAATAAACCTTACAGAGCATACTGGAACTAATTTCTAAGTGAACCTAACATGCACGCACACACAGAAGCTCCCATTTTCCATTCAAAAAGAAATTTCAACTATGCTGCACATCAACGTTTCAGAGCACAAGCCAATCACACCTTTCACACTTCAAGCTAAATGCTAAGACCCAAATCTGTAAAGTCCTTTTACTGCATTATGGATAAACTGGTCAGCCATTCAGTATTGAGGGAATCAATATATCATTTGACTGTTTATGTAGCTGGACGTGAGTTATATTACCAATTGTATCTGCTTATATATATATATTGAAAGTGTCTGCAGTGTCTGAAATAGATGCCTTTAGGTAAAGAGTATAAGATATGAAGGAAGATGGAGGGGATATTAGCTGCCGAAATAATTATGCGGTTATAAATGCCACCGTTGTATGTTTTTTTTTTTTTTAAATCCCTGTTAAAATATTATTAAAGAATAGCTGCTTTCATATCAGGTATCAGGTAGTAATAACAGTATACTGTCACGTCAGTTCTGACTTAACGGTGACCCTTTCCAGGATTTTCTAGGCATACAGTGCTCAGGAGTACAGTAGTTTACCATTCCTTTCTTCTGGGGGCCGTTTGGAATTGCAGCTTACCCCATGGAGGAACAGTGGGAAATCAAACTATCAACCTCTGGCTCAGTGAAATGGGTTACTGCCAATGTCTAACTACTGCTATGACCCTGATGTGACAGCTGCAAGTTTCAGCTTCATAACAAGCTTCAATGAACAGCTCTAGGTGGCTCTAATTCTTGAAAAAAAAAATCATATAAGGTACTGTGTACTGTGTAGCTTGCTGCTCTGTTGCATTCAGAGTCATGGAAAGCATGAACAGTTGCCAAGCAACAGCACGCCAGATTAGATGTCTCACTCACCCCACTAACTCTATGATCTAAATCTTACTAAAGAGATTCTCCCTACTATTAGAGATAGTATACATCTGTATGTTATTATTAAACAGGTTCTTTTCTGTTCTGCAATGACACATTTGTTTGTAAATAAGTAAATCCCTGTGTATCTTTGTTTTCTTTTATTATCACGGAATGAGTGACCATATATATGTACACATACCTCATGTACCCATTCACCCTTTACCTATACCTGACCTACAGGGGTGTGAAGTAACCCATGAAATAAAATTTAATGTGCTATATTTGGTCTCATTGAGCTTATGGCAATTCATCCAGCTTTGCCATGCACACTGGGGCTTTCTCAATCTCATTTTGCACTCACAAATTCAGCTTGCAAACTGCTTCCTCAAATCTTAAGTACATTGTGGGATAGTTTTGCTTAAATATCTTACCGAGGAAAGTGTTTGAAATATATTCAGACACCTGGTTCCCTGAGCGGCTCATTTCCGAAAGATGTGTCAGTTCCCGATTTAGCATTCTCTTGAACTGTTGGTATCGAAAAACAAAAATTAAGTTTCTAAGTCATTTGTGCACATTATATTGAGCACAGTAAACAATAGACATCATAAAATAATACTTTCAGAGACAAACTCTACACATAAAAGAAATGCATTATAGATAACAAGGTGGAATGTAGGGTATTTTATTTCCAGTTTAGGGTAAGAAAAATATGTCATTTTATAGATGTATATTCCACATAATTCCGGAAACTATTTAGGTTTAAAAATAGTACTTGGTTTGAGTCTTATAAGAATTCTACACAATTTTAATGTTCATATCTTACAGTCAAGGTAAGGTTAAACATACACACACACATACATTTCTATGAGAGGGAAAATGTAATATTAACACAGCAATGTACATATGAAGGTATACACATTTCTGTCACAGAAAGATGCAATAGTTAGCACAATTTGTTGAATTATGACATTGGACCTATCAGAAATATATGTTCTGCTAATATAAAATGTTCTTAGTTTGCATGCCATTTTATTTGTATGCCAATACTATGCTGCACTCTACACATTTATACTATATGTTTATAACTGTACAGTAACATTTGCATCTATATGTATGCATTTGATATAGACTCAGCCTCACATGCATTTATAATACATATCTATGACTACAGAGTGATATCTATATCTCTGTATTTGAATCTTCTATATACCGAACCCCACATACATAGAACACAATTGCATTTTATTATGTATTTAACCCACCTTGATATATCCCCATGATACTGATAACAAATAGTTTGCTTCAGGCATTTTTGGAAGACTTTGCAAGTCAAAAGGGGAAAAAACAACCTCTGAAGATTTTGGAGATCAAAAAAGGGACTCCTCCCGAGCCAGGATACCCAGTTTCCTAGTCAGTGAAAGGATTATAAATCTAAAATTCCAGCAATCATGGCTACTTGCTTCTCCACAACCATAGCAATCTTTGTATTCCAGTTTTGCAAAAACCACCGTATTGTCGGACTTTTTGCTGGAAGAACACAAAGAAGGCATAAGAGAGCGAGAGCTGATTGGACTGTTTCTAGCCAACTGCCTTGAAGCACTTTTGAATTATGAATAGTCCAGGCTGCTTAGATAGCTGAAGGGATATCCCGCTTCCAGATTAGTATTCCTCTGCTGAACACAGCAAAGAAGAACGGATGACTGCATGTGGAGGTGTCCCTGGCTGTAGCAATATAGCCATCTTTTAGAAAAGAAGATTAAAATGGAGGAAGACCCCCGTGCATATTAATAAAAACAAGGCTTGCCCTTTTCCTCTATCTCTCAATTGCTGCACTGTCATTCTGGAAAATCCCTTGTCACTCATTCATTCAGGCTTGCAAAGCTCTATTTTGCACATAAAAGACGGCATATCTTGTTAAAAGGAGGAACAACTACTATGTGAACGAAAGAATCCATATTCTACCATCCAGTGTTTTAAATGTTTGAATGAGCAATATCAAATAGTTTCCTCTTCTAGAACACAAAGAAAACATAGAAAGCTGTGTTACATCTGAAGAACAAATTTTCAGATTGTTGCAATATCCAGATGCTTAAAATTGGTAGTTGTTTCCTTTTGAAAGATAGTGTGCAAGTTTTTTAGGTGCATCACAAGCTTCTAAAGAACTAGGTCACTCAGATGTGTCATCTCTCATGCTAATAGGCAACAATAACATTTAAATCAGAATAAATCAGGATAAAACTGCTACTGCTAATGAAACAGATGTCGTTCTTCATCCATCACACTCAAGAGTAATAAAATTTCTAAAATATAAATCATTTGCCTAAATATCTGCTAATGCTATTTTATAAATCTGCTGTTGTGTTCCCCCCCCCCCGCCCCATCACTTTCCTCTCTGCTGGTGTACATATGCAGCTGAGCAAAAGAATACCAAGATGCCATGGCAACAGAACCACATGACCATCCACCTCCTCTACTGTAAGGCTTCCCTTCCAATTAGTGTCACATAGCCATAATAGGAATTCCAAAACTGCTTCAAGCAAACTGAAGCAAATTTCTGAAATGTAAAGATAAATATGAAACAACTCTAGCCATATATAATCTCCATGTCCTCTGATAAAGGACTGTACTGTCTTTTGGTTGCACCATCAGTTCCTCAGGAAACTATTTTTTTTTTATTTCCAGGAAAAATAATCAGAATCCTGAGCTACACAAAATGAGATGTCATCATCTATTTCATGATAGAATGCATACAAACAATAAGGGTAAAGTATAACATGGATTTTTCACGAAGATTTTTTTTTTATTGTTTCTCAAGTCTGAATGAGATTCAGACATGACTGTAAACAGCACAGAATGTTTATGCTTTTTTTATTTTTCATTTTTAGTGCTCCATAAATTCTTATCCACTAGCTGTTGCAAAATGGACTAACGAATAAGCTGCCATGCCCTACATCAGTGGTTTCCAACCTTGTGTCCCCAGATGTTCTTGGATTAAAACTCCCAGAAGCCTTCAGCACTAGCTGTGCTGGTCAGGATTTCTGGGCGTTGCTGTCCAAGACTGCCTAGAGACCCAGGGTTGGAAACCACTGCTCTTCATCAGTGTTTCTCTGAACTGCAAGTCTAGTTGGCACCGGTCGTTCCAGGCTACTCATTTTCCTTATGTTTTAATCCATTTGGAAGTGCAAGCTGCAAGATCCCATTTGTTGGATGGACAATATCAAATTCTTCAATAACAAAAGATAATTACTATCACTGTCACCATCATCCTTTTGGTACATCTCATTGATATGGATTCTGCAGATTCCCATTAAAGTTGCCCAACCAGCATGGTATCTTTACCTGCTAAAATGCCCCCAGGAATGCAGGGCCTTTACCCTTGCTCGATGGAATGTCATTCCGTTGGCAGTGCTGTACAGGAGGTTCAATGGGCTTGCATCCTGCAAGAGGTGCTGCTTTTGTGAACTAGGTAGAGTGGAGTCACTCTCTCACATGATTTGGTATTGTCCACTCTATATGGGTCTCCATGGGAAATATCTAGACCAGTTTTTGTTAAAGAGATTGTTCAGATTGTGACACATTGAAGCATATTCTTTCAACAGCAGGGTCAGCTATAGTGGAGAACATGGAGGCCTTTTTGAACCAGGTAGTGAGGAGCTTAAAGAGGAAATGAAGAATCTTCACCTGCTCTGGTCTGTTACTGTGCTGCTCTGTCTTTTACAATTTAGATTTGAATATGTAGCATCAATAGCAAATGTAAAGAAATTTGTAAAGAGATATACAGTACAATGGAGTTCCCAATACATGTCTCTGAATCTCTGCAATTTTAAATTGCTTTGAATGTGGGGCTTTAGAAGTGGTAGCTATATTAGTCTGTGCTACCGTATCAGGCCAAAAACAAAAGAAAAATGAAAAAATGAGGAAGACAAAGATGTTGTGGCACCTTAACAACTCATTGCTATATTTTAATGTGAATTTTCATCATATTAAAATATAGCAGTTAGTCTTCAAGGTGTCACAACAATTTTGTCTTTTTTGTTGTTTTTTTGTTTGAATTTGGGGGTATATCTGTAATTCAGATTTGGAACACTGGAAGACAAGGCACAGTACAGGTGTTGATGTGTGAGCAACAAGCTGCTATAAAGCTTTGAACTGAAATAATAGGTAAAATGTATCCAACTGAAATAATAGGTAAAATGTATCCATCCAGGGCTTGGGCCCTGGATACTTGAATGACCGCCTCCTTCCATATGAGCCTACCCGGCAGTTAAGATCTAACCAGGGGGCCCTTTTGAAAGAGCCGTCCCTTAAGGAGGCAAGAGGGATGGCTTGTAGAGAAAGGGCCTTTTCGGCAGCTGCCCCCAGACTATGGAATGCCCTCCCAACTGAAATTCCTCTGGCGCCGACGTTGATGACATTTCGGCGCCAGGTCAAAACCTTCCTGTTCCAGAACGCTTTTAATTGAAATAACATCAACTGTGGGTCCTGATGATGGCAATTTCAATTGTATTTTAATTGCATTTTAATTGTATTTTAATCATTTTATTTTTATTGTACTGAATTTTAATTATTGTAAGCCGCCCAGAGACCTCTGGGTAGAGTGGGTGGCATATAAATTAAATAAAATAAATAAATAAAATAAATAAATAAAAATAAAATCTTTCTTTCTTTTGGGAAGTCAGAAGGTAAATAGGTAACTATTACTCTGTATAGGCTGCAAAAGGAAGCCATTAAAACCAATGGCTAGCATTTTGTGGTTCAAAGTCAATGTAAGAGCAGCATCACATGGACAGAGGCTGTTTCTGGTGTGTTTCACTCTGCTGCTGGCTCATGGTCAGTTTTCTCAGGAATATGTCATCAGATATGGCCAAGGGAAGGTGCGAATGATGCTCAGCTTGAAGGTCAGGAATCCCAGCCGTGTGGGTACTCAGGCTAATGACTTTCAGATCATCAGTCTCATTTTGGACTCACATCAATGAACTGATGTAACTACAGCTTAGGCAAGAACCAAAAAAATACTAATTGACTTTTGATTCTGGGAAATAGACCAAATAGGCCTTACACAATTTCATCTTGTTCACCAAGTATAGTTCTAAATAAGAACAAAGATATTTCAATTAGATTTTGAGTGATTTCTTCACTTTCTGTAGCATCTGAGAAAACAAATTAAGATATCCTTCTGGATCAAGCCAACGTTTGTAGTGGGCAATCACCCTCAGTTACATTTTGAAACCCCCATTGTTTATAAATTAAAAACTGTGCAACCTCTGCCATTCAGTGGACTATTTAAAAGTAAAGAAGGGGGAAAATGCCCTTGCAGAACCGGAGATTGGGAATTTGGTACCCCATTGTGCCTTGAAAGAAAGGAGCTACCCTGCGTGGCCTTGGTACCAGACCACCCCTGGAAGAAAAGAATTATAAGCCACTTCTGAGTATCCTATACCTAGAAAACTCATAAAAGAGTTGCGAAAAGTGGAATTGACTTGACGACACTTAATTATTAGCAAAATGTTTTATAAACATTCAAT